GGAGGAGGAGGAGGAGGAGGAGGGGGGGGGGGGGGGGAGAGGAGAAGGGAAAATGGAAAGGTGGAGGGAGAGATGAAAAAAACGAAATGAGAAAAAGAGAGGAGAGGAAATGAAGTCTGGAGGAAGCGGAGGGAAAAAGAGAAGGAGGGCAGAGGAGAAGATGAAAAGGAGGAAATGATGGAAGAGAGAGAACATGGATGATTTGCTTTCCTAAAAAACACAGAACATGTTATTCAAAAACACAAAGACAAACAGTTTGTGTGGTTAGATGCTTTCAAAATGAAAAACAGTTTTTTAGAGAATGTAAAAAAAATAAAACAATATGTTGGAAACTATAATATTTTTGCTCATTGTGCAGATGGAAAGAAGAAATTCATGTCAAGTTAAAGGAAGAAGCATCAGGCCGTCACTGAGATTTCACATCCTTCACTCTGCAGGAGCAGCGATCTGTGTGTGAGTGTGTGTGAGTGTGTGTGAGTGTGAGCACAAACACTACAACATGTGTGCTGAGGTTTAAACTCAAGGGTTCTTATTTTCTGGTAACAAAAGGAGGATTTCTGCTGAGAAAATAATGCAGTTTTTGCACCGATTTTCTTTAGATTTCTTTCTTTTTCTTCTTTATTATGATTTATTGCTTGTCTGTTTCTGATGATTGTCACCTCTCTGCATTCATGCAGGATGTGACTGTGCTGAAGTGTCAAACAGTATGAGCTTACAGTGAAAACTTTCACGAGGCGGCGGTGATTTGTGATGGTGAAAGTGTCATTTTCACACACCGAGACCACAGTTTGTTTCACTTGTGGTGTTTTCTTCTTCAGTGGTTTTGAGCAAAAATAAATATTAGTGAGCATATATTGGTGGTTTGAGGCCAGAATGAAAATACTGCTTGTTACATCGATTAATTATTCCCACAAAATTTGACAGAAAATACCGAAAACATTTCATCACAACAAGCAAGCTGGTTATTGTGTGGATCACTGATGCATGTGAGGAGTCTATAAAAAGTTGCATTTCAGTTTACTGCAGGATTTGCACGAGTAAATTTCTGAATATTTTTTCTTATGAATAAAAAAATTAAAAATAAAATATTTTTAAAATGCTTGTTTTGAATATATTTCCAATGATGGTTTGTTTAGGAGATCATCAATCAAAAGTTAAAAAGGTAAATTATCATTTGTGTCTTTTATGTTACTTTTTTATTGCAGTTCTAAATCTCAACAAAGAACAATTAAGATCATTTTGTAGTATAATGAGGAGATTCTCCTGTGAATTGGACCTGTTGAGAGGAAACAGTGGGTCTACACTGCCCCCTACAGGATAGTTTGCGCCTCTGACGGTTCAGCTCATTTTTAGTTTCATGTCTCCCTCTAGTGGCTTCTTGTTGTTATTACATCACATTCCAGTAGATCACATTACTGGTTCTGAAACCTTTTAGTTTCTGACCCCAAATTTTACAGGCAAACAACCTCAAATATTTACAGAATAGAATTTTTTTTTTTTGTAATTCTGGGGAATCATTTTGTTTTTATCTGGTCTGAGACATAAAACCACTATAACAACAACCCTGCTTTATCTCATTGTTACATTTTTTTCACTCTTTACTCCATTAATAAGTAAACTTATTTATTTCTGATATGATTTTATAACAGGTGTCTTTACAAATGCATAGACTATGTAACACAATAAAAATAAAGTCTAGAACTCTTTGAAGGAATGCACATCACCCATCACCTTTCATATCAGAATTTTTGTTGTCAAATGACTGATTTGCAGCCATTTTGGTCAAAACTTATGTACTGTTTCATGCATATGTGTGACTTGCATTAAAACTACGTCAAATCTTACACCAGTACCTATAAAACTGACTGACTTGGCGCCACAGTTAGCTGCCATTAGCCAACATCATGGTGGCTGTTTTGAGTTCTTTATGAAGGTTTCATTAAAAAACACGTTACATTTATGTGGTTTATGCGACTAAACAGGGTTGACTTTTACAATTAATTTTAAAGTTTTTAGCAAATCTCTGGAACAATAGAACTTAAAATTTTGGACACTCAGCTTTGCTAAACCCATGAGTTTTTATTTTTTATCCTTGCTAACAGGCAGGCACACAAACACAATCACTGTCAGGATCCTGAGTTCTTCTCTTCTTCCAGATTTGTTCAGTGACTTCTTGTGTTCAGCTTGTTTCCTCTGTGCCACTACTTCACTTGTCTTTAGTCAGTTCCTTCCACTCACACCTGTTCTCTGTGATCATTAGTCTCACCTGTCTCCACTCGACTCTTCAACTTAAACCTTCTTGAACTGATGACGGTGATGAGGGTGTAGCTCCTCCGTGTGGTTTTTGTAACTGCTCTTATTTGTTTATGATGTCCACTGTATGTCAAACACAATTATTTGGAAGAGAGAAATGTTGATTTTTGCATGTTGTCCCTCCTAGACACATGTAAAGACATTACTGCTCCTCCTTCACCTCAGTTTTCACTCAGTTTCAACCTAGAAATGAAGCCCTGACTTCTTCACCCTGATCTTTTTCATCTCTTTGAGTTTGCACGGCAGTCCTGAAGGTATTCCCACGCAGCAGCTGAACATTGAACACGACCACAGGAACACTCAGGACAGATGAATCTGCTCCACAGATCAAATGGTCCATAAGGTGGCTGAAAGGCCAAATAAACAACATATTTGCCTCAGAGGGTTTTACAGTCTGAACATAGGGGTGCAACAATACATGTACCCGTATCGAACCATATCGAACAGTGCTTCAGGTTCAATACACACTTGTATCGAACAATACAGATTTTTAAAATTTACTTTATCAGCTTGTCTTCTGAAGATGCTCTGTGTTGAAGGATCAGTGGATCTGTGTTCGACTACTCCACCTAGGCTGCATTTTTGAGTGCAGATCCACTGAGAAACTTGCTGTTTCAGCAGCATTTAATTTAAAAACTGACTATTGAAGTTAAACAAATGTTCATAATTAATTTAAATAAATTACTAGTCAAAATGGGCATGGAAATTTTTCTTTTTTTATCAAAAAAATATCGAACCATGAGACTAAAGTATCGAACCAAATCGAATCGTGAATTTTCTGTATCGTTGCACCCCTATCTGTACAGTTTTCTTTGCAACAGTCTTACTTCTTTAGGACTTAATTCAGACAAACAAAGAAAAAAAAACATAAAGAGTTCCTTTGTAACAGTGAGAAAAATGAAAAAACAGGGTACTTTAGGCAGGTATATCTTTTAT